CTCTCTCTCTCTCTCTCTCTCTCTCTCTCTCTCTCTCTCTCTCTCTCTCTCTCTCTCTCAGTACTGGCAGGGGGACAGTACGGCGGACGTTGTCGTTCAGTGTCTGCCGGCACATTTTTATTTTCTGTGGAAAGATGAACGACATGGAAAGGAGTTCTCTCTTTTTAGGTAAGACATTCTCCGTCATTTCTATATCCAAACAGGTGTTAGTTAAAAAAACCTAACACCTGTTTTGCGCTTATAGCTAAGCTTATAACAACAACTAAATATTTTTTTTGCAGAGGTTGTTTGTGTACCACCCAGAGAATCAGGGTGCAGAAATCCATAAAGAGGAATTCCTTCAGTCTTTGTTGATAATACTGATCATTGAAATAGAATGACTGTAAAGCTGACTTGAAACACAACAGTCTGCAGTTTTGCCGACATTAAAACAGGTTTTTTCATACAACAAATCAACAGTGATTTTTTTTTTGTTCGATTAAATGTTTTTGAGAATCCTGTGTCGAACAAACTGTGGAGTGCAGATATACTTATTTTCTAAAAAGTATTTTTTTCCCCTAAATGTTCAACCCTTAAGCTGCCTTTCAACTCCACTGTATACTTAATAAGCCTACACAACATGACTAAATCAGTAATGTGCAAAGACAGTGGCCGAGCACCAATCTCTCTTCACATTTACCAGTGAAACAGGCTGAGGCAGGAGACTGAGTCATTAAACTCCTGCTAATACAAGAAGATCAAATCTTCATTATCAGTGTGTTGCTCCGAGTGACAGAGCAGGTGTCAGAATAAGGACCACGTAGAGGCAGACTTGAATTAGGTTCTGCAAATTACTGAGACCGAGACCAGATAATGATAAAAACATTCACGGGCTGGTGAAGAAATCTCTTCCTTGCTCTATCTCAGATGTTGGGGAAGGCAGCGATCGTTACCTCGAGGACGGAGGAATTAATTAAAGATGAGAAAATCAAGACTACATTTGCTCCAATTAATTAAAAGGAATCATGTGTCTGACAAGTTGTTGATGAGGTTTAAGATACTAAACTGCCGCTATTTGCTCCTGAAATCCATCTATCATCTCCGCTGTTTGTCTCTGCCCTTGTATTTCTATGACCTGGGACTTTATAAAATGGTATGTATTATTTTATTATCTTCTGGAAAAAAAAGGCTCGTAGGGAAATACTTAGATAAACAAATCCATCAGAAGCAGAATAACAGCCTGTTTTCTCAAGTCATGGGAGGTTGACACGAAAGGAAGAGGCAGTTTGAATAATCAATGTTTGGATGACAGGCTGCTGGAGGCTAACACTGTGTTGCCAGTCGACTTCATCACTTCACAATCTTTCATTTTCCTGAAGTGGAGCCTTACAATTGCAGTCATGCAACCTCCGACAACACCCAGTTATACCGTTCAGTGGTTCAATAGGCAGGTGATCAGCTTTGTTCTAGAATTGATCAAATGATTGAGTGCAAATGGATCAGTCCTGCTTCTCTGGAGTGACTTGCTAATTATTTCATCACATTAACATTTGTCAGCTACCACCCCCAATCCAGTTTGGGTATATTTTGTGCTTATTGTTTTTTGTTAATCTTTTCTTGTCAAGTGCTCAGATTGTCCTGCTTGAATAACACCACTCCTGTCTCTCAAATTGCAAATTGGTTTTCATGGTGTATAAATTAGTGCCTCTGTTCAGCAATCAAACGGAACCTGACGGCACCTCTTGAACTGAAACAAGCTGTATGTTTCTTGTGCATATTCACAATGCTGAATAGTTGTGATTCATCATTTACAAAGATGATTAATTGTATCTTTTATCGCCTCAAGATGCACACTAAATTCATGTTTAGTTGCCACATGCAGTCTTTCTGTTAAACTCTTGGTAAATACATAAAGCACTGACAGCACACTGTCCAGAATGCTGTCAGAAAACGAACCAGTTACAGTGTCGGTACAGAGATACAGTGGCTTCCTGTTAAGCCTGACACTAGATCTGAGTAATAAAAAAGATATATGCACATCTATTTTATATGAATTTGGCAACAATTTAAATGTCACTGCCATGTAATCCCTTTGGGTAGCAATGTTAGCAATAATATGTATGTGCAAGACATTATACCTAACATCATGAGCTACATATGGGATGGAATGCTGTAATGTCGTTGTGCAGACATTATGCCTGAAAAGCCTTTTTTATGCTCTGACAACTCCTTTCCACAGAATTGAATCACTTTTGTGGTAGTATCCCATTAGATTTGAAGTGTTTGATATTTATATCAATATATTATTCAATTTACCTTGCACAGAAGTGAGACTGTCTGTTGAACTGAACAACACAAATACAACAAAATCAATAAAATGTGCAGTTAAGCATGTTTTTTATATATATATAAATATAACAACTGTCAAGTTGGACACCAAGTTGAAAACCTTTCTCGGCCTCCCTGTTCACCAAACATCTTAGCATCACTGAAACTTTATGATAACATGATATCATAAGACTGAGGAAATGCATCATGGTCCACCAGTTCCCTCCCCTTGAGGCTACTTTACCTTCCAATGATTGGACCATAACAGAGTGGTGGTCCTATTAGTTGATCATTACTCATCTCAGGTGTCAGTGATATTATGTAATGGTCTTTCATGGAAGGTCATCACAGCGGTAGGATCCCTTTGAGAGGCATCTGTCACGGTGTACCGGGCTGCAGTTAAAGACAAAAAGCCTTAGCACAAAGCTTGTCTGTGTGTGTGTGTGTGTGTGTGTGTGTGTGTGTGTGAGACTCTCTCAGTGGCTGACAAACTTATCAAACTCTTATCTATCTAACTCCAAATAACATGAATTCAAAATGATACTTTGTTGTTTTAATGATGTTTCTAAGGGTGTACAATACAAAGCAAAATGTAAGAGACAACACACCGAACACTGATCCAAAAGTTGGGCTACTAATTGCCGACTAAATAGTAGTCTAATCCACCGACTTTGTGCTCCAGCCACATTGTCAGACTCACTGTTAAAAACTACATAAATAAAGGATCAAAATTGATGCAGCAGGACCAGAGATATTGTCTTTTTTATTCCACACATTCTTCTTCCTTGCGAAAACCTGAGGCCTCTATACCCACAATGCGACTCGACCACTGACAGTTTGGTCGGAGATTCAGGCTCACTTCCTTCGATCTCCAAATTGAAATCGTCAGCTCCAGCTAACACTGACTCAAGTGACATCACCTGAGATCATTTATTGGACTCCAGACCCTCCCTCTGGAGCCACAAAAGGCTTTATACGATACTTTTCCACACATTTACTAGTAACCCCCAAGACTTTGATGTGAAAAATTGGTGACGCTCCCCTCTAAATTTCCCTCTAAGGCAACCCATCAGGTCAAAAATGTATCCAATACTTTGACTTTGACATTAGCATGTTTGCACACTGAAATGCACCACAGTATAGAATAGAAAGTTGTAAATTGAATGTGTAGATGTTGGCACTGCCTAATGCACTCTGTATAATACAGACCAGTAATCCAAAGTGGCTTTATTATGAGAGAGCCACAAGCTCTAAATGATTCTTCCATTTTGCCTATATGATGAAAGAAGCACATTTAGGAATTTATATTGGTTACTAGAAGAAAAAAAAAAGCCATCACCAGGAAAAATTTGTATAACTCAAATTATCAGATTTCTCAATTCCTCTTTTGGACCATATAAGCTGTCCTCAGGATTTCTTAACATTGCGGTTGAATCTCCTGCACCTCATTAGAAACATGATGGTTATTTTCGTCTGGCTCAAATTTATGCCAGATTCCCTTCAAACGCCCATTAGAGTAGGTCCCTGGTGACATAAACCTCCCTGACACATGTTTGGCCACTCACCAGGTTGACGTCCAGGTTGAGGGGTGGATGTGGTGGAAAAACGATGTGTAATCAGGCGTCTGTGTGTGCGGTTGGGGGCAGCAGGTGTGAGAAGGTTCCTCGCCTGCCAGAGCCTCTCCTTCACTCCTCATTAGTAACCTTGTAGACGCCTGGCTGTCAAACAAAGAGCGTTAAAAACAATTCAGCCCCTCTAATGTTGTGGTTCGGTTTTCGTGAAGACTCACATTCTTTTTTTCTGCTTGAATCTGGCCTAAGTAACTGGAAAGTCACCACGTGTAGCTGTGAGTAACACATTAGATAGTTTGTGAACAATTTCAGATAATGGCGGCATGAAAGCTCAGTGACTAAGGCTTCTCAACAACTAACCTCTTAAAAGCTAATTAGGATGATTATATCAAACCACAGTCAACTTTCTTGGCAGTTTGGTTTTGATAATTGTGTGGGGCAACCACAGTGGAGTGCAGAGGAAGCAGCTGAGTGTTGATGTTTTAGTCATTGCACTGCAGTGTGGGTGTTTTTTAGAGCACTGTGAAGGTCTGTCTTTGGACCGGGGCTGGTATGTGTCTGGCTGAACTAATGGTTCTGACAATTGTTGCTAAAGGGAGAAGAATAAAACAAATATGTTTTATGAAATGTCAGCCTTTATCTTTGTTTTCTTGTACACATTAGTTAGTGTTCTTCTTCCTCCTCATCCCTGGTCACAAAACCTTGTTTGCACTTGTGTGTTTTTTTCAGGTCAATATTAAAGGAATAGTTAGACGATTGGAAAATATGCTTATTGGCTTTCTTCCGGACAGTTAAATGTGAAGACAGAATATAGACGGTGAAGACAAAATGCATCACATAAGGGTTTGTTTTGTATCTCTCTTTTGTTTTTATCTCACTGGCGATCTCACAAGCAGATGGTAGATGACCATAAACCAGTCACTTATGTGCGTCAGTATTGAATATATTGTATGGTATATATACATAAACACAGTCTAAATGACCTTTACTTAAATGCACCACAGAGGAGCCAATTGCACTCGTTTGCTGATAAGATCTGTACTGACTTAAAGAGCAGCCTTGTGGCAATTCACAATTTTATTGTCACAACGTTTATTGTCGTATATACTTTCATGCCAACATCAATGTCGGTGTCCATTTTAGCAGCTTTCATCTTCTAAAAGTGGCCTATTTGTCATTCAACCCTTTACTAACCATATTTGTCTAAAAAAAGGTTTTGATGTTTTTACCAGCCTATTTCATTACGATTGATCATGAGCATTAGCACCTGTCTGAGTCAAATTATTTTGCCTTTGTTGTATTTTCCTGTGACTGGTGCTTTTCTGGGATTGTAAAACCCAGATCCGGTGTTTTGTATTTAAACACCCCTATATGTCAGCTAAATTGTCTTGGCATTCCTGTTCACTGGCAGCTAGTTTAAAAACATAATTTGCAAAATGGATTCAGTAAGCCCCGGATCAATTCCTCTGCCATTTCTCACACAGAGCTCCCCCTAACGGGAACCATCTGAATGGGCATATCTATAAACATCGAACAAAAAGTTCGGAAATTCGTGTTTGGTAGATTATTTCTCTGTTGTAACAATGCTTCTTGGCAATAAATGTTATACCGTTGGAAAGCCTGTTTATTTACCTTTCAAACGGTGCCCCATTTGTAAGGATCATGCATTTCTGGGATGAGCAGCACAGCTGAGTATGTGGGTTGCACCCATGAAAAATTTGCCGACAGAGAAATAATCTACCAAACACTAATTTCCTAACTTTTTGGTCGATGTTTATATTCATATCTATATATTTCCCTGGCCTTCTCTGACTCTGAGTCTTATGGACATCATTTTGCAGCACTAAGTAAAGCTTTGGAGAGAAGAAAGAGGGCTGGACTTTAGAACAAAAAGTGTTTTCTGTCAGCTCATAATCATTAAGCAGATACAATTAAAGCCATTTTACCTATGGTCCCATTTACTCTGTTCTCCAGAGCAGCAGCAGAGCGGGAAATTGAAGGTGTCAGAGGTAATCGTGGAGGTAATGGACAACATGAACATCAGATTGTTTTCCTTAAAAAAAGAAAATAAGTAAAAGTGTGCTTCAAGAAATGATTTGTATTTTATAATTAATTGATGGCAGGTTAGGTCACTCAGTAAGGACCCTAATTAGAATTCAGGTCTTTTTCATGGCGAGGATATACATCCAGTTGGACTATTCCAATTCATTTGTTTGCCAATTACTCAGTGTAAAAATAATTAATTTTAATAAGAGTTGGGAGAAAGGCAGGGTAATGGTTCCACTGGCACTGAAGCTGCATTTCATTGCATTTAAATGTAGAACTGTACTTTTTAATGTAAATGACAAGAAACTTGGACTTGAGCTAGCGGTCCTCCTGCAGCAGTAGTTTTAAAAACAACTCGCTTCATCTAGGCATTGAAACTGTTGCCTGTTGTAGTCCTAACTGCCACTGTTTGACTGTCTCCTTGTTTCTCTCAAATTATTATGCCTATTATAAATGAAATTAGCTCAGAAAATAGTTGAATAAAAAAACATTGAAGTATGATATTTCCCTGCTAAGTGAGATTTGAATCATAATTGCATCATTGGTGATGTTGCTGGCTTTTCCAAACTGTTGTACAGTTACAATGTATAATCATACTTTTGCAAACTAAACAAGACTAAAGTGAGTGAACTAGTTATCTTATTTGTTTGAGGTAAAACGCGGTAATTCTTTCTTTGACCACTTTGGCAGCGCAACCAGCTAACATTACGTAACATCTACATATTATTGCCTTGTAAAGATGTTGTGCTGAATGTGCGATTGTTAGCTAACAGTTGCTTAGGTACTCGAACAGCAGACAAATACCTGACAATTGTACTTTCAATAGTCACTCTCCTTTTAGCTGTTTTTTTTGTCCCCACTAACGTCTGAGGGGAATATGTGTCTCTTTAGCTGCTAAATGCTCCACTATGTTCACCAGCTAACTGCTAACGCTAACTTTGTGTGCTGTTTTGTGCTGAGCTGCTAGCTTACAGTGGGGTTAACGTTGTGGACTGTAAAACCAAAACAGTGAGTTAAAATACTGTATGCCAAAGGAGAGACTACATAATGCCAATGTGGGATTTGGTAAATCACAGCTAAGCTGAACAACATCTATTCTGTAGGCCCATTTGTATTACATTAGTTGATTCAGAGCTGACCTCCCATGCCTCAGGAAAAGATGAATGTTTGATGATTCATTTGCTGATTCTTTGCCACATTTCTCATTTATTTCATTAGTCCCCCCCCCCCCTACAATTTATGTCACTTTCTTGCCTCATGAATAATAAATCACATTTTTGCTGGTTCATTAGTGTTCTCATAAACAGTTCAAAGAAATCTCTCATATCGACCTTTGTTCTGCTGCTTGTCATCATAAAGCTTCTAGTTGTTCCAGAGCTTTGTCCTCTTCAGTCACAGATATTAGCAAATCAAGTAGGGTGTTTTTTTTCAGTTTGTGCAAAAATGTTGCTATGTGGAGGTGTAAGTGGAGACCTCCTGAAATCAAGAAGGTGACGCTTTCTTGCACCATTAAAGCCATCATCAACTCAAGAGGGCCTCTGATCATCAGTGCCCCATTCATAGCATGGTATCCACTTATTGACAGCGTCTATTTAATTGCTCTCAACGTGCTGAAGCAGTCTGATGGATTTTAAGCAGATGCTCATGACAGTTGAATAGCTTTCATCCTTTCATCCTACTTGCTCTTTACAACATACTCTTTTTAACGGCTTGATATTTTCACTGCACAAGTTATTTAGAACCATTTCTCTCTGAGGGCCCGTAAAAACCAGAAATCCATCATTCGGGTAACTAAATTGGTGAGGGCTCCATAAAGCTAGAGTACGAGCAGCAGCGAAGCAATAAGATGTATTGAATGCGTGTCTTGCTCAGCACGTAGCCAAAACCAGAATAATGGAGGAGATGGGTTGAAAAAAATAACTCTCCCTCTTTTTCTTCACGCCCTGTAATTGCGCTATTAAGCATTGCACCAGAAATATTAAATGAGTATTTGTTTTGAGGGTTGCGTTACAGTTATCTAATTAGTTTTTATGCTCAGAGGACTAGTAATTTTTTAAACTGACTGAAGAAAGTGAGAGCTGTTGGGCCATTGGCAAATTGCCTTGCTGAACAAATTCATATTTACCCAGAAGCTGAGTCTCTTTAGGCTTGTGACTGATGTAGCTGTGATCTATCACCCAAATAAAAGCTGAGTGTCTGCACCTTTAAGTGGGAATGATGTTGTTACATCAAATCTGCTACAAGGGGTGTAATGCAAAGCTACAGTATCTGATCATTTCATAAAGATATCTGTATTTGTCTGTGTGTACTGATTTACAGCATGCTAGAAGTGAGTAGGGCTGACCTAGACTTTGTTTGAAATCCCCTACTTGCAATAACTAATTTATATTTGAACTGCATTTTCAAAAATGTAGCAGACGTAGCAAATGTAAATAAAAGCAGTGCCTTTTTTGTGTTTCGGATGGACACAGAATAGGAGGTTTTAACAGTCGGAAAACACAAGTCAGAATTGCAATGGGACATTTTGTATGTGGTTGTGCATATAATGGGAAGAGGCCCAGATGAAAGTGAAGTTGGTCAAGAAACTAGAAAGCTGAAAATAACACTTTTGGCCGTTTTGCACTCGCTTTTGAGACGGTCCCTGACTCCAGCTTGTCAGTTTCTTGTCTACTGTCTAATAAAAGATCCAAACAAACTGTTTTGTGAATCTTTGATGTCAATTAAAGTTTGTCTATTAATATATTAATATTCCTGTATTCCATTTCCTCTCTACTCCCTTTCCTCCCTGCAGCACTATGCTAAGATCCCAGGAAGCCTTCCCACCATGCTGGAACTGGGCTCCTGTTCGGTCAGCTCTCAGGCTCTGACAGGGGACCACAATGCTTTGGGGCTACCGAGAGCCCCATCAGGGCCGGAGTGTTCAGGAGGTGGTCCGGGCATGGGGACGATGTGTGGTAGCAGCACCCCGAGGCACCACATCCTTCACTCGTCCCCAACGGACAGTGAGAACTGGCAGAAGCATCGTGCAGGACTGGCCGCGGGGTCGAGCCTGTTGTCTGCATCCCACTCCTTCCTGGAGCCCCAAAGTCTCTCGACCAGCTACGACACCCTCTACCTCCCACAAATGTCTGGCCAGGCTCCCCCTGTAAATCCGAACCGTCTCGGCCTCTCTCTTGATGTGGCCTCGACTTTTGAAGTCGGAGCAGGAATGTTAGGGGTGGATGGAGATTTGGCGGTCAGTCCCAATGTGATGAAGAGACGTCGGGGCGGCCTGATCGAGCAGAAGGACATTGTCAAAGCACACCAGGCTCATAAGATTCACAGCACACCACAGGCACGACGCAAGGAGTGGGAGTGAGTATGATGCTGATTTACATGCAGAACCCTGGCTCTCTCTTTCTCTTTCTCTTACCTGCTAAATTATCCCGAGCTTAATCCTAAATATAGTAATGTAGAAACAAACCACAGCAACAAAGCTGTATACAATAATGTTTTGACCAGATGATAACATCTGCTGTAGAGATGCTTTGGAATCTCAAAGTACAATTTATTTATATTTAACATCATTGTGACAAAATTCAATTTCCCAGAATGTTGTCAGAATCATAACCTATGGTGGGTGCAACTAAAATGGATATATTGGTCAGCTCTGTTGCGGCCACATTTTAGATAACACTTTATTTGTGTCATCAAATGATAGTATTCAGACTGGTTGATAAGGACAAAATTGTCATTTTCACACGTTTTCTCCTCAGTCATGTCAAACACAAATAAATGTGTGACAGGAGTTACAGTTGTAAAGATGGTGAAAGATATTCAATGCATGGGTTTGTGTATGTTCACAGTACTGTTTAGTGGGTATGAGTGCAGGTTTAAAAGAAGAGTTTGACATTTAGCAGGTGAGAGAGACCGTTCTCATGTTTGCATACAGTTAGTTAGCCTAGCCTAGCATAAAGACTGGAAACAGCTAGCCTGTCGCCATCAAACCGTAAGAAAATCTACCTACCAGCATTTAAACGCCACCAATTAACACATCTAGTTTATTTAATATGTGCAAAAAGCGAAGTTTCGTAATACCATACTCTATTGGGGGTCTATTTTTTTCATCTGCAAGTCATTGCTGCTCCCAGCCAAGCAATAGCGGGGCACATTATTAATGTAATTTTTCGTTTTATGTTTTAATTGGTGAGCTTTACAGGTGCTAGGTGCATTTCGTCAGCTGTTTCTCCTGCTTCCAATCTTTTTGCCAAGCTAAGCTAACTGGCTCCTGGCTGTGTGTGTATTTACTGGTTTCCTGCCCTGCAGCGCTGTGGATCTTCTAGCTGATTATAGCAGTGACGCCCCCCTCTGTTTCCCTGCTGAAGCTGGGGCTTCACCTCTAGTGGTGTTGGCACCCTCTGTGCCCCCCCGCTCCTGCCCCACCACAGGTACAGGATGCCACATCCCATTCTGAGTTATGTCTATGGCCAAAGAGACAGAGGCTTGGGGAGCGTGACGGCGGAGAGAAAGTGGGAGGATAGATGGGAGGTGGAGAAGAGATGGATGATGACATACAATGAATGCAGGGGAAGAGATGAGGAGGTAAGAGAAATAAGAGGCTCTAATTTGCATTTGATATTTAAGCCCATGTGACAGTGGTATTGATGTGGTTGATTACTGGATCACCAGGCCTGTTGAGATGCTCAGTCATGGACCAGATAACTATTCTCTCCCCTGCCTGATATAATTATTACAATACCACATGACAAATCTACACTTCATCCGCGGAGAGGACAATAACCTGAGTGAGTCAGGATATGTAACAACCATGAACATCCACCTCTCAGTGCCACTTAGCAACAAACCCACAGCCACCTGACGGGAGGATGGAAAATGAGATGTTGCACCTGAGCCAAAGTGTGCACCTGCTTTTGTTATTCAAAGGAAATTAAGCTGTTTTCAAACCAAGCTTGAGCATTATGTGATGAAAAAGAAAGCCCATGTGAGTTTTGTTCCTATCAGCAGCAATATCATGTTGATATTATTCAGTTCATAACTCAGTCTGTCCCTTGTTTCACTTTAGACTTCAGCAAGATATCTACATGGATGGATGTTTGTAGTCCCCAATGATCTACTTCTAAGTCATTGTTACCCCATGACCTGTCATATAGCGCCACCATCGCGTTATAATTAGCTGTGAACATTCATGACTCCCTGAAGATAATTCTTCATGTCTTATTGATTCCCGGACGTTTTCCCAAGTGTCATCATCGGGCCAAATTTCCCAGAATGCAATGAAGAAAACTTCTGGCTACCGTTCCATTAAATTATTAATGTTGCCCAGAGGATGATCTTTTGTGACCCTGTGACATTTCTTCTTGCACCTGTTTCACATTAACATTTCTAAGTAATTTCATACTGCAGACATAGAAATATACTCGGTGTAAACTTTGCAGTGTGTACTCATACTCCCCAGAGGAAGAACCCATTTGAGTCTGGCTTTTCCATGACCTGGTCTGTAGTGTCACTCTGTCAGACTGCACATTTTTAGACCTCCTGTTTGGTATAATGAAACAACGAATAACGAAAGATAAGACTAACGAAACCGTCAGTGTGTAGTTTCTTTCTAAACCCTTTGTGTCATGAATGTTAATGAGCAGTACAGTGTCGATGAGCCACCGACTTTGTCTCTAGTCTTGTTTTTTTATGTGCCTCCAATTAGGATATTCTGAAACGTTTGCTTGTCACATAGCTCTGCTTGAAAGACATGTTGAAACAGCAAACACTGCTTTGTAAATGAAGCAATTAAGCCTCACATTCTGGTATCTTGTTCTCCTCTTGGCAGGGGTTGAAAGTGTTTTGTATGTTTGTGTCTGTATTTGGGTGTGTGAGTCTGTGTGTATGTGCATTTGTGGCATTTGACACGTGGCGGTCTGGATAAAAACATCCTTTCGGAAGTACTTGATGTAATAACAGTACTTAGATTTGGCCTAAGTGTGGCCCTAATGACTGTAATCAAACTGAATCAATCTGGTATTTCAACGACATCAGGAGCAGTCGTTGGTCACAAATAGAGGAGGGCACTAAAAATGTTTTGGTCTCTGTCTGACCTTGGTGCTGTGTGTGTTTTTGTGTTAGATTTATGTGTGTATTTCTGAGGGAAAAGGTAGAGAGGAAGAGTTAATACTTTGCCAAAACGTTTTGCACACTATTTTAGACAAATTTCATAAAAATTCAAACCCAACAGAAAAGCTTCTGAAAGAGCAGCAAGACTACCTGAGCACAAGGCCAGTTTCCTAGTGACAGCACTGTGAATGAGACCGTACCCTAAGATGAATATTTTATGTATTCTAGGAACAACTAGTTGAAGGTTGTGGCATGTAGATTGTGTGTGTGTGTGTGTGTGTGTGTGTGTTTGACGTACCGTGGAGTCTTAAATTAGTTTCTTGATTGGCATTGATTTCAATTCTTCTGGGTCCAATGTCACACCTGCATTGTGTGCTCGTCATCTTTCACACTGAATAACTCCTCTGTCTGAGGGCACTTGCGCTCTCCTCAGCACTGTCGGCACACATTCACAGTAAACAGATGCAGGGTGAATGAGACTGAAGTGGCTGAGTGTAGTGATGATACAATTGCGGCTCTCCGCAGTCTCTGGACGATTCAATTGTACAGAAATTACCGAAGCATCTGAAAAAGGGATTTTAGGAAAAAGTAAATGCCACTTTCTTTTTGTTCTTTTCGCAAACACAAATGTCATCGTGTGTAGAGTAAACACCTGAAATCATCTGTTTAAATTCTTGTTTGATTAAAAGCATTGAGAAAGGCAAGTACATTCAGATTTTATACTCAAATGTTCTTTGACAATGTAAAAAATTTGATCAAAGGACATTTCTTGTTTCATTAGAAGTTTGTTTAAGTTTGTGAGATGGAACCAGCTAGAGGACCAACATCCAAACCTATAGACCTTTTCTTAGGACACTACTGTATTATCATTCTATTTGATTGATCCATTGTATCCATTTAAAGCCCCTTGAGGCAAATTTGTGATTTGGGATATTGGGATATATAAATATAATTGACTTGACTTGCATGTCAAAAGCGAATGATTCCTATCAGTGAAACACTCCTTCATATCTTTGGTCAGATTAGTCTGCTTCACATCAGAGCTGCATTTTGTTTTTTAGAGAAAATATGACACCACGATCACAATTGTCCCCAAATCGATTGCTGTGTGCTGACACAGGAATTTCATTTTACAAAATGTAGCAAAACACTGGCAACAAGGAACATCTTGGGTAGATAATAACAAGAATAAATATGCAATGTGTGTCGTTTTAGTTCCTTGGCTGCCATGATGACCAGCAACACACACGCACGCACGCACGCACGCACGCACACACACACACACACACACAAAACTCTGCACAGTGAAGACATATTGAGGGATGTCATATCAACAATTCATGTAATACTTCACAGGTGATGTATTCTGCAAATGCTCCCGGTCCTCAGTGGTTACAGATGAAAGATGAAGTCATCCGCACATCATCGATGCTGTAGCCACTGTGCGTGTGCTGTTTGTCTATGCGTTGTGTTATCGGTGGTGATCTCTGCATCCCTCCTGTCCGCGTTGGCTCTATTCTCGGCAGGGGTGTGTTTACAGACTGTGTGACCCTCATTTCTACTGATCACAACCTGATTGGAGAACACTGGCTGTGCCTCTGGCCATCCACAAAGCGTCTTCATTTGTCGACTTCATTGCTCACAGCTACAGTTGGAAAATTGCCTGTTTATAGCAGTGTCCCTGTTTTCATGCTTTAGGCACCAAGCACAAGCTTCATTATTTTTCCACCGGTACAGAGAACATGGTTCGGGGGTTCTTGTTTGAGTTGAAGACTGCATGAGGCATACTGAGCGTAGCAGGGCTGTAACAAATTACTTTGCTTTTTGCGACTGGCATGCCTCCATGAATAGCAAGGTTCAGTGACCAAATACTGACTGAAATACCTAAACTATTGGTTACAGATCGATTGACATGACATTTTATACAGGCGTTCATGGTCCTCACAGGATGAAGCCTGCTGACCTTTGTGATCTCTTGACTGTTGCTTAAGCGCCACCATGAGGTTTACATTTGCGGTTTGAGTGAAATTGTTTTGCAAACTATTTGATGGATTGCCATAAAGTTTTGCACAGAAATTCTTGTCCTCCTCAGGATGAAATGTAATCACTTTGGGGATCCCTTCGTTTTTCATAGTGGCATCATCAGGTATTTTAATTTGTCCATTACTTTGGTTTTGACCAAATACTTGCAGAACTGATGACATTTCCAGCATCCTTAGTTATACTTTGTGTGTAATGCAAATTAGAAG